TTTTTAAATATATTTTTTAGTTATAGGTCGACACAATGTCTTTTTATTTTATGTGATGCTGAGGATCGAACCCAGTGCTTCATGCATGCTAGGCAAGCGCTTTACCTCTGAACCGCAACCTCAGCTCTGTTGGTAGGCTTTTGATAGCATCTTCAATTCCTTTGCTTGAAATTGATCTAAATATTCCATGTCCTCCTGATTCAATTTGATCTAAGACATGGTATAGTTTAGAGAAGGATCTGTGCTGCTGAGAAGAAAGTATATTCATTGATGGATGAAATAGTCTACATATATCTGTTAAATCTAAATTATTAATGGTATTTTCTGTTTCATAGCTTTTTAATTTAGTTTTTGTTTGGAGGATCTATTCCATAAAACAGGCATATTACAGTCACCAAATGTTTTTTGTTGTGGCCATTTGATTTTCAAAATTGAGAAGGGTTTGTTTGTATGTAGTTGCTACACTGTTTGGGGCATAAATACATAATGATTGTTATGTGTTGTTGATATATATTTTCTTTAAACAATATGGAATGTCCTTCTGGTTCTTTTTCATTAATTTTGGCTTGAAATCTACTTTATATGATATGAAGATAGAAGCTCTGGCTTGTTTATAAGATCCATGTGAATGATATGTTTTTTTCCCATTCTTTTACCTTCAGTCTGTGGTTATCTTTGCCTATGAGGTGAGTCTCTTGGAGACAGCATATGTTGAGTCTTGGTTTTTAATTCAATCTGCTGGTCTATATCTTTTGATGGATATGTTTAGGCCATTTACAATCAATGTTATTATTGAGATATGGTTTTTATTCCATTTCATTTGAGTTATTTCTGTTTTTAATTTGAATTAGTTTATCCATTCATTGACTATTCTTGTAGTGTAGTTTCTCCTTTTGCTGGTTTTCATTTTTATTTTTCATTTCTTCAAGAAATATTTTATTGAGTATGTTTTGTAGTGCAGGCTTTCTATTTGTGAATTCTTTTAAGTTTTATTTATTATGGAAGGTTTTCATTTCTTTTTTGGTGACATGGTATTATTTTATTTATATATTTATCTACTTATTTATTTCTTACATACATGACAATAGTGGAATTCATTACATTCATATTTATCCATTCTCAGAACAATTTTTCATAACTCTGTATATAATGTATGTTCATGCCAAATTATGCCATTATACATGAACTCTCTTTGTTTGCATTACAATTCTTAATACATCTTTATAACACAAATGGAAGGGTTTTTTTTCATTGTCTATTCTGAAGCTTAATTTCACTGGGTATGGTCTTCTTGACTGGAGTCCATGTTCTTTCAGAGCTTGGAATATATAATTCCAAGACCTCCCAGCTTTAGAGGTCTGAGTTTAAAAATCAACTGAGATCTATATTGGTTTCCCTTTAAATGTGGCCTGCTGCTTTTCTCTGGCAGCCTTTGAAATTCTATAATCTGTATGTTAGGCATTTTTATAATAAGTTCTTGTGTGGGTCTGTTGTAGTTTTGTATATTTAGGGGTCCTGTATGCCTCCTGTACCTGATTTTCTGTTTTTTCTTGAGGCTTGGGAAATTTTTATTGATAAAAACTGTGCATTCCTTTGGTTTAACTCTGAGCTTTCATCTACCCAATAAGTCTTAAGTTTAGTCTTTTCATTTTATCCATCTTGGAATTTTATTCATAGTCTCTTAACATTTTTTATCCTCTTAACAACTCTATTTTCAAGATTATATACTTTGTCTTCATTGTTTCAAACTCTGTCTTCCATGTGGTCTTTTCTGTTGGTGATGCTTTCCAATGAATTTTTAATTTGTTTTTCTGATTCCTTCATTTAGAGGATTTTGGACTGATTCTTCTTCAGGATCTCTATCTCCTTATTAAAGTGATTTTTTTCATTCTGTATTTTCATTCTGATTTAATTTCTTTCTTCATCATTTACCTCATAGATCTCTTTAATTTTTAACTTTCTGAATTCCATCCCTGACATTTTCTAAACTGTAGTATCAGTTTTTTGTTGTTTAGGATTGTTTGTTACTTTACTTTTTCTTGTTGTTTGTGTGTTTACCCATATATCTGGATGGATATGGTGCTGGAAATTTTCTATCTTATGAGTTTATAATACTTTCTATGTTACTAGTACCTTACAGATTGGGAGGGAGCCCAATGTTAGCTTTAATCTATGCAAACAATATATAGCAATAGTCCAGGTCTTTAGTTCTTATTTTCATATTTAATGTTAATTGGTACAATATGTAGAAATAGTAGAATCAGAAATTTCAATCAGTAAAAACAGTAAATAATCATGAATTATGTTTGGTATAAAATTAAACAATAGGTACTATCTATGATTTCTGCCTTATTAATTATTGCTGTGACATTGATGGTAGGGGCAGATATTATATATGTCAGTATTATGAGGTATTAAGGATAGAGTTGAGTATGAGGAAAGAAGAAATAGGAGGGTAGAAAAGTATTTGCAGTTTCAAAATGTGCATAGGGCAGATACTTTGATAACATCTTGATAACATCTACAGGATTTGTACCTGTAGCCTTCATAGGGAGGAAATAAGTAACTCTCAGAGGTGTGGGCCAACTGGAAATAAAAATATGGAAAAGTGGGCTAGGGCTGTGGCTCAGTGGTAGAGTGCTTACCTGGCACACGTGAGGCACTGGTTTTGATCCTCAGCACCACATAAAAAATAAAATAAAGGTATTGTGTTCACCTACAACAACAAAAAACATTAAAAATATATTTTTTTAAAAATCTGGGAAATTATTATTGAGAAATAAACACAAAGGACAAGAAATATATTGAAAGCAGTGACTTGACAGGTGGGAAAGACTTGATGAATCTGATTCTAACAAAGGGAAAAGCCCATGAATTCTTTATTTATAGCAAAACACACCAAAGGAATTTATTGTAACATGGGGTTCTTCAAGGTAAACAAGAAGAGAGAAGCTGTGTGTGTGTGGGGGGGAATTGGCAGGGTTGGAGGCTTATCACTTGCACAGTAATTCCTCCTCCAGGCAGCTGGCATCTCAAAGCTGTTTAGGCACACTGGTATCTCTTTTACCCAAGGCTAGCAGGCATCTAAATTCAAAACTATCGAACTCATAAATTCCACACCAGGCATAGAATCTGCCCCATTAACAGTGACCACCTGCAAGTGAGCATGTCTTTCAGCACAGTTGTACCGAAAGAAATTCAGAAGGGCAGTCTACCTATCCAAGGCTATGGAATTCAAAGCAATAATTTATTTGCCGCTCCTCACAAGGATTTGTTGTCAATGTGAAAAGGGAAGAAAAAAAACTTCTAGCACATAAATGAGGAGAGAGGGGGGCTGGGGTTGTGTCTCAGTGGTAGAGCTCTCAACTCGAACATGCAAAGCCTTGGATTCCATCATCAGCACTACCTATAAATAAATACATACATACATACATACACACATACATACATAAAATAAAGTTATTGTGTACAACTACAAAGAAAATGTGGCATATATGCACAATGGAATAAAAAAAGAATGACTTTAAAGGAGGATAGAGGGAATGGAATTGAGTGTCAGCAATAGAAAAAAGAGAAGGAGACAAGGGACATAGAGTAGTGGTAAAGATAATAAAAAACAAAATCATAATATACTAATCAAAACCCCTATCCCTAGGTTTAATCCTCAGCATCATGGGGCTGGGTGGGGGCAGGGGGACCTAACCCTCAAAATACAGAGCATAGGAAAATAATACCTTCAATAAATAAATAAATAAATAAAAGTTTTAAAAAGGCTAGAAATAAGGAGAGAGAAACACATGTATAGAAATCCTTGAATCAATCAGTACACATTCAAATAAAACAAAAACACAATATAGAAAACCAAAACAAAAAGTAAAACAAAATAAGCAACAACAAAAAGGAAAAATAAGGGTGAAATGTTAAGAAATTAAGGAGTCATTTCCACTACGGTGGACAAAATAGTCGATGAACATATGTGTTCACTATCTGTGCCAAACTGATTTTCTTTTAGTTTCGTCTTGAGGTATGAACTAAGAGTGGGAGTATGGGCCATGAGTTGTGAGTCCTTTCTTTTTTATTGTGTTGCTCACCAAATTGGGGTTTAAGACTTCCCAATTTCCCTTCTTAGAAGATTAGTGTTGGCAGGCCAGGCTCTCGACTGTGTGACAAAACCACTGGCTGGGGCAAGTCATCCTGGCAGTGGATTGGCTCACAGTGCATAATAACACAAATGCACATCCACATGCCACTAGTAAATGTATTGCTGCTCTGTTTACCTTTTAATCATCATGACAAACAGAATTATACCATGCAATAATTATGAAGTAAAAAGTTATAAACCAATTTTTGAACTGAAAAAAACAGTGTTAAATAATTATGCTGTGGCAATTATGCAGTGAAGTATAGTAAAATACACCTTCAAGTGATTAAAGTACCTCCTTAGGAGAACTGTTTTAATTAAATCAGGAAATTCTGGTAATGTCTTTTAATAAGTGAGACAACATGCAAAAATTGAATAAGTGTATTTCCTTATGTCTATTAGAGTAGAAAAATGTTAAATATATGAAGTTAATTTTAGTTTTTCTCTAAGAAAATAATTTGGAGCATAATAATAACAATTTTATTTGAGAAAGGGTATCTATATATAGAAGACTTTGTAGCTGTTAAAATGTGGATTTTCTTGACCTCTGTGCTCCTTGCATACTAAAACGATTCTGTGTCATTCTGCTATACAAATAGAAGATCAAGTTAAACAGCAGATTGGGTAGTAAATACTTACCTGACAAGGTGTTCTTACAGGTCATCCTTATTTTTTGTAGTTAATATTCAAGGTTATTATACTAAGTCATTCTATCCAACCTAAAGGCAAACCTTTCCTGATTAACATACCATACCGCTTAACCTCCTCTACCCTAGACAATATTTTTCAGTAAACTTATACTCAATTTAAAGAACAAAAATATTCATGACTATTTTTATTTTTATTTTTTGTCTCTTAGAGTTGCCTTTGGAAACTGCAATGGGTTGGCTGTGGTGGATTTTATACAGAAGACAGTTCTGTTAAGCATGGGGACCATTGACCTTTATAGATCAAGTGACCTGTATCAGAGACAACCACGTTCTCCTCGAAAGAACAAGCAGATCATTGCAGGTAGGAAAGAAAACAAGCTGGGTTATGAACTTGATTTGTACACCATTTTTTTCAGATTGCTCATCTTTTGTGATGTTATTCAAATGCTTTATAAAATGAACCAACATGATTTATACTACCATGTAATACAATGTGTTGGGCAGAAATACAGTGAGAATCTTTGAAAGGGCAAGGGAGATATATAAAGTTTAATTTGCTTTTTAGGTTAGGAAGCATTTCAAGTTTCTTAGGTTAAGTTCCTAAGAAATAAGAGAAAATAAGAAGCTGCTAAATTTTGAAATGCTGTGAAAATCAAGTTCTTTAGTTGAAAAAGCTGGCCAAGCATGGTGGCACATGCCTGTGATCCCAGCAGCTCAGGCAAATTAGACAGGAGGATCACAAGTTCAAAGACAGCCTCAGCAATTTAGTGAGGCACTAAGCAACTCAGTGAGTCCCTCTTTATAAATTAAAAATATATCAGTACTCAGGCTGGGGTTGTGGCTTGGTGGTGGAGTGCTCACCTGGCACGCTTAGGGCACTGGGTTCTATCCTCAGCACCACATAAATGTAAAATAAAGATATTGTGTCCACTTAAAACTAGAAAATAAATGTTTTAAAAAATATATCAGTACCCCCCCCAAAAAAAGAAGCTGCGGTCAACTTACTTGTAATATATTTTGCCCCTTTTAACATGATAATTTACAATAGTGGTAGAGTGCTGGATAGTGTGTTTGCCTAGCATGCACGAGGCCCTGGTATGATCCCCAACACAACAAACACACATATAAAAGGTAACTTAAGGTCATTCACTTCTTTTAATATTTTAAAAAAACTGTATTATAGCTGTGACCTTTTCCTGATGGATGATGACTGTGTTGTAAATATTTTAACAAGCACAGTAAATATTATTCATTAACATTTTTAAATGCTATGAAAGATAGCATCTTTCTTGACAAGACAAATTGGCCTATTCAACTATAAAAAAAGAATTCTGTGGTTAATTAGATTATATTGCCATAGTTTTATATCCTAAATTATCAAAATTTATTGGAATTTTGGTATATATCCAAATAGTTGGCTTTATAGACATTGCTGAAATTTTGTGTATTTTTTTGTCCATTGATGTCGTCTAGTTGGTAGAAATTAGGGAAATGGTTTGCAGATAAAAATGCTTCTATAGAATTATGTGTTTAGACAATTATTTTAAATTTTCTACTTTTCTTTATTTAAAATAACCAATAGGTTATCAAAGCTTTAATTTTTAAAAAAAAGTCCATGAAAAGAATATTAGGGGCTGCGGTTGTGGCTCAGCAGTAGAGCACTCACCTAGCACGTGTAGGGCCCTGGGTTTGATCCTCAGCACCACATAAAAATAAATAAATAAAGGCATTGTGTCCAACTACAACTAAAAAAATAGACATTTTTTAAAAAAGAATATTTTACAATAAAAATTTAAAATCTTACACTTTATTTTCCAAATAACAGGTATGTCAAAACCTTTGAGTGTGATAAAAGAATTTTCCTTTTAGACTAAAAAATTTGATTTTTAAAAAATTTCTGCTTTATTAGCCTTTTGATAAACTTCGCTGCTTTCTAAATTATTAGCTTAGACCATTTTCAGGGACACAAAATTATCTTTTAAACCTGAGGCATTTTCGTTAGGAATTCAACTGTTATCAATATTTTAGGACTGCTAGAAAGAAAAACAAAATAAAGAAATTGTGTGTATGTACCATAACCGACTCTCAATAGTGGGAAAGAGAAGGTTGATTTATGAAAGTTAAGAGCTTTTAGAGCAAGAAGGTTTGAAGGGCTAGTAGCTGCTGTTTGCAGTGCTGAAAGCACCATTTCAAGTCATAAAAGCTGTGGACCCTTTGATAGCATCTAAGATACTTGCTTTCTGGAAGTGCTGGGTGTACATTGTGGGTTGAAAAGTGAATATTATGACAAAGGAAAATTATAATTTAAACTTCTTGAGCATCAATAATTATGATTATAGCTTAGAAATTCTGATGACTTTAGAATATGGAAAACTGTGATGAAGCTGTAAACTTGGTTTTTATTTTAGTTTACAAAATTAATATACTGAGCTGGGCATGGTGGCACATGTCTGTAATCCCAGAAACTCTGGAGGCTGCAACAGGAGGCTGCAACAGGAGGCTAGCCTTTGCAACTTAGCAAGACCCTGTCTCAAAAAAACAAAAAGGGATGGCGATATAGCTCATAGGTAGATTATCCCTGGGTTTGATCCCTAGTACTGAAAAACAAAATGAATACTCTGAGTACTCATATTATAAAAATAAAAATTAAAAACTAAAATCTCTAAGCTTTCTTTTTAATTGCAGAAGCATTAAAGACAATCATTTTGATATTAATGAAGTAATTTATACATATTATTACAAGCCAAGTATGTATACTATGCAAAAACATTTAAGAAAAATATGCCATCAATTTTTTGTAAGACATTTGATAAAATAAAATTGCTACAGCATCCTCATCATTCATCTATCACCTCTTACTTTCTAATTGATTTTTAAAATATCTCCTTTCTGATTTGATTACCTAATTTTGCTGCAATTTCTTCATCTTGGCTGTTCTAGATTCTGGTATGATATCACTTCCTTTCACTTTAGACTATTCTTCTTTCTTTCCCCTGCCTGCTGCTGATGCTGGTGTTCTGGCATGTTCCAAAGACAACTTTTGCATGCGTGGCCTGTCTAACTTTTATCCTGATTTAACGAAACGGATCCGTACTTCTTATCAGAGTAAGTTCTAAAAAGGTTAGACAAATAGCATTTTTGAGTCACAGTGCTTGAATAAAATCCGTACATTGGTGCTCAGTAATGTGTTTTTTAAAAACACATTCAGCATGCATGTAAATTTTTGTTTTGCTATTGAAGTGCAACTTGATAATTTTAATAAAAATTATTATGTAAATATTTCAAATCATTATTGTCATGTACCCATTTATTCTTATCCTTTGTTTAAGTGCTTATTTCAAACCATACAGTCTATGTCCTATTAGTCCAAAAGTCATTATTTTCTGTTTTGAGGATGGAGAGTAATGGTGTCCTGATATAATAAATCTAATATGCCATATCAATAATAATTTAATGTTTTCTTATTTTGGAAGCCTTGTGCTTTGGCCATTTTACTACATTATTCTAACAGTGCCACAATATTTGCTTGTAGTTTTTAGAGATAACTAGGCATTCCTAACTTCTAATGCTTTTTATTAAGATAGAATACCAAAATGTACATTCCTGTAGTGATTTTAGGTATCAACCTGTGAAATAGAGAAATTAAAGTCCCACAAATAAAAGAGTGTATGTTAACATTTCCTATAGTAGCAAATTAAGATTTGAAGATGGCTAGAGTAAGCACTAAAAACTAGTGCAGAAAGCATAAGGACCGAGGGTATCTGTCACTGGAAATGCAAATGATACTAATGATGTTACAGGTAAATATTTATTGACATGAAAAAAATGTTTACCTTATGTTAATCAATATGTTATATAACCTGAATTTTTTCAGACCTCAACATGTTTATAAAAACTAATACATTCACATTAGTTGTAAAACCTAAAACTTTACTGATTTGTACCTTAGATTAAGGAAGTTATTCCTTTGAAATCCTTTGAATTTTTCTAAAAGTGCCCAGATGGTGATTTATATTCCCATCTGGGCACTTTTAGACTCTAGTACCACACCATTTTTTTGTTATTTCTCACTTTCTCTGTTCCTGGACCTGTGTAAAAAACAAGGAGCAAGTATTGACCTGCTCCTAAAACAGAAACTTATTAAATACTATGATATTTCTTCACATATGAAAATTTTATGAAATTTTAGTTTCCATAATAAAGTTTTATGGGAGCCTACTCATACTCATTCATTTACATGTTTTCAGTGGCTGCTTTCACACTACAATGGCAGAAAAGAGTAATTTCAACAAAAACCATATGGCCTACAGGCCTAAAATATTTACTATTTACACAGAAACTTTCTTGATCTCTGTTCTATACCATTCTTTGACATCAGTCCCTTAAAACCACACAGAGGGTTTCTATCTAAAACCTTTCCTGTATATATTCCCCACAACTTCTGAATCCCAGGTTAGCCTTCTGAAGATAGAATCCCCCTATTTTGTATGTATATACACAGATATAGAAAATTTTCTAGAATATTATCTCGGATCTTATAAATTTCTTCTTTTAGTTTACTCTATTTTCTCATATAAATATGTGGTGCTTTTATGGTAAGAAGAAATTGGGGTTGATAATAAGGAGCAAAAGTAGACTCTAGTTCACGAGAATTCCATAGTATCAGCAGTGATATAAAGATTAAAAAAGTTTTTTGAGAAATATTTAATAAGTTTATATTCCCTTCAGAATAAAACAATCAACATTCTTAAACCTTCATTAAAGGTCCTTTAAAATATAATTATTACCTACATCTTTAAGTGGATTTTCTACCACTCTCCTGTAGCAATTCCCCACTGAAATAGGCAGAATTAATATTGTCAAAATGGCCATATTACCAAAAGTGTTATATAGGTTTAATGCAATTCCTATTAAAATCCCAGTGCCATTCTTCATAGATACAGAAAAAGTAGTCAAGAAATTCATTTGGAAAAATAAAGAGACCCAAAATAACCAAAGCAGTTCTCAGCAAGAAAAGTAAAGCAGGGGACATCACAATACCAGGCCTTAAATTATATTATAGAGCCACAGTAACAAAAACAGCATGGTATTGGTACCAAAACAGATATGTAGACGAATGGTACAGAATAGAAGACACATAAAAAACCACATAAATATAGTTATCTCATATTAGACAAAGATTCCAAAAACATACATTGGAGAAAAGAGAGCACCTTCAGCTATTGATGCTGGGAAAACTGGAAATCCATATGTAGCAAAATGAAATTAAACTCCTATCTCTCACCCTGCACAAAACTCAAAGTGGATCAAGGACTAGACCAGAGACCTTATGCCTAATAGAAGAAAACGTAGGCCCAAATCTCTACTATGTTGGCTAATTAGGAAATGATTTCCTTAGCAAGGCCTTTAAAGCACAAGAAGGAAAATCAATAATCAATAAATGGTAAGGAATCAAACTAAAAAGCTTCACAGAAAAGGAAACAATAACATGAAGAGAGAGCCTCCAGAATGGGAGAGAATCTTTATCACATTCACCTCAAATACAGCATTAATCTCCAGGGTATATAAAGATCTCAGAAAACTTAAAGCCAGAAAAATGAATAATCCAATCAATAAATAGGTTAAGGGACTATACAGTCACTTCACATAAAAAGAAAGATAATCAATCAACAAATATATGTAAAATTTTTCAACATCTCTAACAATTAGAGAAATGCAAATAAAAACTAGATTTCATCTTACTTCAGTCAGAATGGCAATTATCAAGAATGCAAGCAACAAAAAGTGTTATGAGGATGTGTAGGGGAAAAGGTATACTCATACATTGCTGGTGGGATTGCAAATTGGTGCAACCACTATGGAAAGCAGTATGGAGATTCCTCAGAAAACTTGGAATAGAATCACCGTTTGACTGAGTTATCCCACTCAGAGCTTAAAATGAGCATACTATAGTGAGGCAGCCACATCAATGTTTATAGTTAATTCACAATAGCTAAACTATGGAACCAACCTGGGTGCCCATCAACACATGAATGGATAAAGAATTGTGGTATATATACACAATGGAATATTACTCAGCCTTAAAGAAGAATGAAATTATGGCATTTGCCAGTAAATGGATAGAACAGGAGAATATCATGCTAAGTGAATAAGCCAATCCCAAAGAACCAAAGGCTGAATGTTTTCCCTGATATGTTTTCCCTGATACTAATTCACAACAAGGCAGAGAAGCTCAGAAAATATAGAGATATTTTGGATTAGACAAAGGGGAGTGAAAGGAGGGGAGGGGTATGGGTGTAGGAAGGATAGTAACATGAATTGGACGTTATTACCCTATGTGAACATATGATTATGTGACCAGTATAACTCTATATCATGTACAACCAGAAGAATAAGAAGTTATACTCCATTTATGTATGATGTATCAGAGTACATTCTACTGTCATGTGTAACTAGTTAGTACAAGAAATAAATTTTAAAAAATACTTCACTCAAGTCAAGTCTATCTTACTACTCTTATGATTTATTCATATCATCTCTCTGGAAATGCCCTGCTCAATTTTCACTTTCGATAATGAACCTTTCCTGCTACCATCAAAGCCCTGTTGTGCCAGTTCCTTTGCTTAAATTCCTACAGTGATTGCAGTGTACAGGTTTCTACACAGTAGTGTCTGCACCATTTCAATTCATGATTGTATGGCTTTACCTTTCCAAATGGATGACAAGAATCTGAATGTATCAGTTAAATTTTTTATTTAAATGATAAAGAATTTTATTTTTTGTATTATTTATGAACGAATCATGAGCTCAATGAGTAAATGATGATGATAGTAGGATACAGCATGGCAGCAGGCTCTTTTCTCTCACAGGAATAGCCGGGCAATTTTTTAAATTTTATAAATAAAAGAACAATTTCTTTCACTACTAGATTCACAAGAATTTTGCAAAAGCAATCATTATTTCTTGTAACTGGAGACCTAACATGTCAAAGTAGAAGTAAAATCGAGTCCAAGAAACAAAGAGATCCTCTATATTTTACCAGTAGTCTCCATGGACTCTCAGATAAGCCCTATGACTTGAAATCAGATAGTGCAGTCTTCTTTTGATGATTAACAATATATATTGTGACAAAGGTCTGATTTTTAATGACTCAATGGTAATCTCCTGGAATTTGCTTTTAAAAATAAATTTTATGGAGCTGGGGTTGTGGCTCAGTGGTAGTGTGCTTCCCTAGCATGCCTGAAACACTGGGTTGGATTCTCAGCATCATATACAAATAAATAAAATCAAGGTCCATCAAAAACTAAAAATATTTTTAAAATAAAAAAAATTTATAAAAATATGGTTTGAAATTTAAATGTTGGCTAATATAATATGATTACATTTGTATATTCTCAACACTATTATAGTAGGGACAGTGAAGCCTTTTCAGGAATTGTTTCCTGAATTTCAGAAAAGTGTAGCTGCATTTTCCCTATTTGGAGAGACAGAACCCACTTCAAATGAGAGTTCATTCTATTCTGAGATCATGTTAGGCAATTTGATCCAGTGTTATATTATTTAATGGTCATCATAACCCTTTGAGGCAGATGGATATCAATGGTAGATTTGTCTACCAATGAGAAAACTGAAGTTGAAAGAGATGAAACTAGTTCCTTAAAGTCATTCAGAATAAATGAGAAACAAACTACACCTAATATTAATGTGAATCCATATGATTTCCACTGTATGATCATATGTCTATGAGTGCCTCTTAATGTTTTAGGCACATTGAAAACCAAATCCATTATTCTATAATCAGTAACCACTTTTTCCCCCCATTTTAACTACTGTGAATGAAACAACATATTCAAAAATGAAACAATTTGAAATTGTTTTGACATATTTAAAATGAGATTGAATACAATGACCTTTAAAGTTTCCTTATTTTTCTTTAAAAACTATATTTTTATTCCACTTCACTCTATTATATTGATTTTGCTCTTGTGATGTCACATTTCTATTTTGAACCTGTTACTTCATTTCTGGAGAAACATCTTTTGATGATCACCCATCAATTAGGTCAGGCTCCAAGAGGCTAGGCTGCCTTCCCTAAGTCATTAAAT